GCGCTCGGCCGGCTGCCCTGCCGCGGCGAGGCGCCGCCGCCGTACGAGCTGTCCCGCTCGCTGGAGGACGTGGTGAGGGACCTGGAGGACCGGCTCCTGGAGAAGGAGCATGAGCTGAAGCAGATGAGGAGGAACCTGGACGAGAGCGAGGACGCCATCGCGCAGGTGAGGGCGGGCGGGGCGGAGGCCCAGGGTTCGAGGTGGACCTAGCCGTCCGAGGCTTGTTTATTGTAGCCCACTGTATTGTTTTTCACTTACGTTGACTCCATTGCGGTTTTTGAGTAATCGGACAGCCAATCCCATCCGCGTTCGGCCCTCTCTTGTCCTCGTGTGCGTGGTGGCCTGGCCGATCAGTCCGCGAACACCCGTTCGCTCCCCGAACTGAAGCCACATCCCACCAGTGGTTTGAGTTTGGGAGTGTCTGCTGCCCACAGAGATGCCAGGGAAGAAAGCAGATCTCTGGCTCCAATCCCCATTGGCCTGTGTGCCTTTACAGCTATGACAGAGGATTTGGCTGCTGGGACTTGGGGACCTGTGTTTAAAGTTCCACAGGCAGGCAGGCAGTGGCTCAGGGCCACGGTATAAACAGGGGTCATAAACTTCCAGACCTGAAAGTTTTAAGCGTTTGTTCATTATGATGAAGTGCTGTGGAGTCAAACCGGTGAGCTGCAGGGAAGTCTAGTCATTGCCGTCGTTCCGGTGAACATTCCGAGCTAGACTGTGATCCCGGAGGGAAGAGAGAACGGAAATTCCATTCGGAATCAGGTGCCGTTGATGGCTGTGTTGAATTTGCTCAGAGCCGAGTTTGAATCTGTTTCTGTGCACAGAAACCCCCCCTGGCATGGCAGGCCCAGAGTAGGCAACTTTAACTTTGAAACCTTATATAACCCATCTGTGACGCATGATTTCCACTTCGATGCAAATGTGAAACATTTCGCTTTCTGGATTTTTTTAAACAAATGTTTTGGTCAGGAATTACTCCTGTTCTTTTTTTTTCTGTGAAAATGCAGTGGTGCCGAGGCGCGCAGTGTGGGCACCCATTCAGACAGGGCAGGACAGAGCAGACAGAGGAGGGCGAAGAGTAAAACACGCCACCCCGTTTTGCAGAACATAAGAGAATCCTTCGTCTCGTGGCATTTAAAGACAGTCGCAAACTAGGATCTAAAAGAATGAGTCACAATGGATTCCCTTTCATTTATAACCTTTCTTTTTTAACAAATGCAGAAATGGCCATATAAGCTTGACCACCCGTCAATAAGAGTTTTTTCTAATAATGCGAAAGAACCTGGATAATAAATACAAAGGCTTGAATCAGAGAACTTGGATTGTCTGATTTCTTAAAGGGGTCAGAGGTTAATGACGTTACTGAGCTCTCAGGGTTGTATGGCTGGAAGCCTGTTGATCTGGTCAAGATTATTTTGCTTCCCTTCCACTGACAGACCTAAGTCCTAAAGTCCTAAAACGAAAAAACGACCAGGACCATTGGGGCAGCCTCCCTCGCTCACTTGCGCAGGCCCGTCCGCGGCACGGTCCAGCTGCGTTTGCAGGCTCTCTGCTCAAGGGGTGGCCATGCAACAGCACTGCCGGCATGAATGAAGCGATCCCCCTTCCCATACGCACACGCTGGGAGTTCTCCCCGTTCTCCTTCCTCCTCTCTCTCTCTCTGGCCGTGCGGCAGGTCTTCGAGGGTAAGCAGAGGCTGTGGGAGAAGGAGATGGAGGAGCTGAAACGCCTCTACTCCAGCAAGATGCGCCAGGTTTCCCAGCAGTCCCAGCGGTCCCAGCGCACCCTGCAGCTGCAGGTCTACAAGGCGCAGCAGGAGAAGCGCAGGCTGCAGGAGGACCTGGAGGCCCTGCAGAAGGAGTGCCAGAGCCTGAAAGCCCGGAGTTCTGGCCTCCAGCAGGAGCAGGACAGCCCCAGGCTGGAGGAGACTAAGTGGGAGGTGAGCAGGAGCAGGGCCGAGCAGTTTCCATGGCTGACTTGGAGAGATTAAGTGGACTAGCTGGCCAGTTTGTCCACAGTGGAAGCTCAGGCCTAGTGTGTCTTTAAAAAACGTGCAGACTGAGACCTGATTTTGCACCTGTGAATCAGCATGAAGTAATTATTTGTGTGGATTCTTGGTTGCTTGTTGTGTTTTTGCTGACCGTATTTCTATATGTAACCTCCCATCAATGCTGGTATAATGTAAATAGTTGATATTATATATATATAAAAAGCATAATACAATTGTAAAATGAAAGATGAAAGCAGGAATTTATTTTACTTTTGTATACATTTTATCTATCTTAAATAAAAAAAAAAAGAAAAGCATGTGGACTGCAGGGTGATGCAGCAATCAGGGTTCTGCGCTTGCAGCTGGAAGGTTGCGGGTTCAAATCCCTGTCGTGCTTTTGAGGACGGTGCTTCAGCTGAACAGCTGTAGTAAAAGGCCCGGCTGCATAGATTGGGCGCAAATGTCAGTTGCTTTGGATAAAAGCTTCATCCAGCATCATTAGTAAAAATATTTGGTGAACAAGATTACTTTCAGCAATTTTTGTTCCAGTGTATAATTTGCTCTTGTTGTTCCATTTCCTTTGGATTTCTTTAAATGAGTAGGTGGTGTGAATTTTGCACAGGGACGAAAGGTTTTAAACATCACCCTGTAAAAGCATTTTTTTTAAATAATTGTTTTTTGTTTTGCCAGAAGAAAAAAACAGATTGGGCTTGGAGAATTTAATTCAGGGGCTGTGAAATTAGGAACTTCTTTCGTTTTTGAGAACGGAAGATAAAACTTCTTGATATTTCTCAGTACGAAGTTTTGGACACTGGGCATTGTTAAGGCACATGACATGCGTGTCTTTTCTCAAGCCACTCAGGAGCTCCCAATATTTCGTTTATTTGTTGATAACATAGCGGCTGGGCCTTTTATTTTCATTTTTTTGTGTTTTGTCTCTGCGTCTCTCTCGGGGAGTCTGAACTCAAGCATGTCCAATCGGAGAGACGGCAGCTCTGTCTCCTCTGCTCTGGTCCGCATTGTCCGAGTCGGAGAACCTTGCTGGATGTTTCGTCCAGGAAGTGGGAGTGGTGCCTTCTAATTCGTAAATGTTTTAATGGCTGTGAATTATTCTTCTCTTATTCGCAGTTTAGAATAACCAGCCACTACAGCCTGTAACATTCTAACATGCCTGTTGCATTATTTTGGCATTTGACGAGCAGAGAGATCCAGTGCCTTGCAGGAGTGTGGCACGTCTCTCGCTGGCATGCCAGCTTCTAGCAGCTGGGCAATTCCCAGGGATGGTTCCTGCTACAGGCAAAGCCTTGTCAATGTAATCCCACACCATGCCTGGTGATCCGAAAGGGTGGTCCGCCGATTGGGCATCTTTCGATGTTTCCACGACGTTACAGGTCTGGCCACTTGTCATTAGCTGACTGTGATTGTGGCAATCCGTGGTCACAGACTGCCGACGACTGATGGTAAAGCCTGCAATATCCACAGGGTTCAGCCTGCTTCCATCTCCAGCCGCTCAGGAACTCCGGATCTTGAGGTTGTTGCTTTTATCCGTGCGGCCGCCGTCAGTCCTTTTTTTTTTAGATCGGCTTTTCGTCCTAGGTGTGCCAGAAGTCTGGGGAGATCTCCCTGCTGAAGCAGCAGCTCCGCGACGCCCAGGCCGAGGTGACCCACAAGCTGGGCGAGATCTTCCAGCTGAAGACGCAGCTGCGCGAGGCCCGGGCGGAGCTGCGCGCCAGGGACGGCCAGATGGAGGCGCTGCGGCAGACTCTGCGGGGGGCGCGCCGGGGGGACCGGGAGGAGAAGCAGCAGGAGGAGGAGGAGGAGGAGGAGGCGGCGAGGAAGGCTCGCTTCTGCCCACTAGAGGAGGAAGAGGAGGAGAGGGAGGCAGGGGAGGAGAGGCCGGGCAGGGGCGGGCAAGGCACCACCGAGGAGAGGCTGCGGGCGGAACTGCTGCTGGAGAGGAGGCAGAACGAGGCCCAGGCCTCCACGTTCGAGGCCGAGCGCCAGACCTGGCAGGCTGAGAAGGAGAAGGTGATCTGCTACCAGAAGGAGCTGCAGGCCAGCTACCTGGAAATGTACCACAAGAACCAGGCTCTGGAGAGGGAGCTGCGAGAGCTGAGAGGCGGCAGCGGAGGCGGCGCGGCGCCAGGGGCCGACAGGCCGCTCCCAGGCCTGCCCTGGATCGAGAGGATTGAGTCTTCGGAGATATAACGCCCACCACTGCCAGCACAGGCGAAACCCGCTCCCCTGTCGTCACTTACGGCCCCCTCTCCTCCCTGGGGTGTCATGCCCTCCTGCTGCTTTTGTGTGTTCTGGGGTGGAGGGTCTGGGGATTGTCCACATGCACAAGTGCTCCTGGCTCGGAAACGACGCCCGCTGAAGGTTGGCACCGGTTCGAAAGCAGACCCTGCCACGGCTGAGGGTGTGCCAGGGCAGAGGTGCTACGCAGAGGCACGGCAGACCAGCCCTGACGTTGTGACGGCGCTCCGTCCAGCGTGTCGCTTCCGAGATGAGCGCGACGGGATTTGCATGACTCTCCCGGACACTCCCCTCGCGGTGCATCGGACACCAGTTCACACACCGCCCGGAATCGGCCAAGCAGGCCCACACCATGCAGGCCACAACAGCTGGCCTTCTCCAGAGGGGTGAGAGCTGTTCAGGCTTCCCAAAGGACAAACGCCAAAAAAGGCATGGGCAGCGTTTTCCTCCTGAAAATGCACAAATGAAGTACGCAACTAAAGATCTCTGAAAAGAGATCCAAGACTCTTTGCTGCCCGTCCTTCGTGACTAACTGTTTAAAGAAATGGCTTTAAGTACATTTGGTGAATGTAATTGTTTGTGGATGACTTGGAGCTGGAGGAGTTTGGCTCTTGAGAAAGTGTGAGAGCTACTGACGCCGCATGTTTTTTTGCAAAGCTGGTATAGATCAGGGGGTGGTATCATGGAGCAATAGAAAAAGGGATTCTCTTTTTTCCGTTATTGGTACAATACGTCTGACTGCCACAGCCTTTAGGAAACATTCTGGGCTGTTCTATGTAATTAAAAAAGGGAGAATTAGACTTGGGAATTTTGAATGAACTCTGTCTTCCCCAAGATATCGACAAGTGTCTCAGCACTGCCTCTGAATTAATAAAGCATTGATGACTGGAGTTCCCCCAGAAGTAAAATATTCCACACAGTTTCTGGTGTTTGGAGGGACAGGAGGATTCTCGCTAGATCGCCAAAACAGGTCTGCGTGTTTCACATGCAGTTGGATTTTAAGGTGATTCTTAGTTTCCCGCGCTGTCTCACTTTAAATCCAGATTTAGGGCATGGGACACCTTACGTTCCGCTGAATTCACCGGTGCAATTCTCGGTCCCAAAGTCAAGCCCACGTGGTAGTAGATGGTCACTTCTTGAAAGCTGACCGCACTCTCTGTGTTCCCTAGGGAGGTGCAGAGTGACTCATGTCATGTGACTCATGTCGGAGTGATTCAGTTATCACCAGAAACAGGTGATTTTCTGGCCACTGGGGTTACTGTCCCTGTCCTAGATGTTAGTGACAGGTATGCACTGAGGTGGAGGATCTCTGTTCTGTACAATGTATGGTAATGCAGTCAGAAACTCTCGCCATACTGCGATATGATCCAGTATCTCAAGTGCAAAGCTGTGCACTCCTTTGAATGTAGGAAGTTAAAGGAAACTGGTACACCGCAACACCTGCACTGTATTTTAGGGCTGAGCTCAGAAGCTCATGCAATATAAGAAGGGCTCCTGACTGGTGTGTACTAATGCCAGGATAGTTTGTCCTACAGTGTTCTTTTCCCCTGTAAGAACAAATGGATAAGCAAAAACATCAAATTAACAAAACTCTTTTCACCCCTTAAAAACAGTCAAATATGGACCATTACTAGAGTCCTTCATACAAGTGCATTAGTGTGTAAGAGCAAATGGGTTTAATAGCATCTTTTTAACTGCAAATGCACCATTAATCCCACTGCTGTTCCTTTTCAGCTTATGCATCCCTTTTTGACATTTAGATACTCACAAAGTGGTGTGCTAAAACACCAGACTTTCAAACAGAAGAGTTTCTGTAAAATGTGGAGCAGTGTTCTGGACTTGTAACTGGACTTTTGTGGGTTCAAATCCCGGATAAAACACTGCTGTCATATTCTTAAGCAAGGTGCTTCACTGAACCTGCTCCAGTAGAATTCCCAGCAGTCTAAATGGGTCCAAATACAAGTTGCTGTGCGTAAAGGAGTCAGCCAAATTAGTAAGTGCATTGCAATTTTGTTAACACCTATTAACTGTCCTGCTCCTCTGAGTTCTCACCACTGTGTCTTTCTGCCTCTTTCAAGGCTAATAACACAACAGAAACGGTTTAAGATTCCAGAAGAATAAAGCTCTTCAGAAAGCAGGACTGTTCCATTTAGTAATCATCTCTGTCCTGCACAATGTGTCAGAACTGTAAAGATGAATCTCTCTCTCCCGATTTGATTTAAACATATAAGTGTTCATTTTAAGATATAATGTGTTTAACATAAAAGAATAATTAATTCTATATTTGTTTGCATTAAACAGAAGATCTCCAGACATATCTCAATTATAGCTGGTTTTGTCATCATCGAATAACTGTGATTCAGCTTCATAACTTGCAGCTTAACAGTTCTGATTTAATCTCTGAAGGTGTGTATGAAGGACATGAATAAACGTTGGTATTTGACAGCCACGTGTATAAACTAATAAAACATCTGTATGTCATGAATTGAATGAACAGATCAAATGTGTTGATTGGCTAACAGTCTTTCTGTTGGGAGAAACTGGAGATTGACGGAAGACTGTAAACCCATTGTATGGATATCTGATGCCATCATTAATGTTTCTTGCAGCTTGAAACGCTTAACGAGCCTGTGACTGAAGATGCAGTCGCAGAGTGGGTGTCCGGGGAAAGAGTGTGATGTCCCCCTGCACAGTTCCTTAAAAATGCCTTTTCTTTTTTCCGGGACGAGCCAGCTTGTCTTGGCTTTCAAATTCTGTCACTGGCCGAAGTGCATATGAGCCCATATCCGATCCGAGTATAGTAAAGCCATCTACAAATTGGTGCGAATCTGAGATTGATAATGGCATTGGCCCTCTTGCTCCTGGAAAGCGAAGGTGAAGTAAGCAGGGGACAGTGTAGACTAGTGAGCAAGCCTGTGGACTGGTAACAGTCAGGCTGCAGGCACGAGTCCCTCCTGTAGACACGCTGCTTCTGCTCTTGAGTTATTAAACTTCTCCCAGTCTAATAACCCTTCAACACAATGAGTACAGTGAAGGTACTGTACTGTGCTCTGCGGGAGCAGTCACGTTAATTATTTTGGCCTTCTGTGTTAAACAACCGTGGGACAGCTTAGTGTAAGAGCAAGACAGTGTCGGGGAGTCCTAAATCTTCTACTAATAAAAAGAAAATAAAAACATGCTGTGACTTGTGAGCAAAAACTCTTAATGAAATCCAGAAGAATTATTCCACACGTGCCCTCTGAGACCCCATTTAGGAATAGAATATACCTACCAAAACTAGATGTACTCAATTACTATGAAATTAAAATGGCTATGACTTCATAAGATAAATATTTTACCCATCAACTGGAAAGTAGAAACCAGATGGCTATCCAGGCATAAAAATCCACTCAGTGCTTCATTCAATAAACTTCCCCTGCAAAGTAAAGTACTTGTCAACTGATAATCTGCTGCATAACTTTAAAAAATATATGTATATCTAAGTGGCCACAAGCTTCAGGAGAAGACTTTTAAGAATCCATCTCTCCTGGTGGTGTTTTGTTTGTCACCCTGACGGGCGTGCACATCTCCATACCGGCCGATGCGGTTTTAAAATGTGCCCCTTTTACGAAACCCCAGGACTACACAGTAGTTTTGTTAATTCCTGGAAAAGGAATTCCAATGTTTATCACGGCGATGATCAGAAATCTGGTTTCAGTCATTAGGTTCCCATGGAACTGAGGCTGACAAACATTTACCTCCGGAGACAGGCATTCCAGGTTCCACGAAAGAATCGGGAAGAGCAGATAATTAGAGGCAGGGTATCGTACCTGGATGAGGTAACACATTCTTCCCCTCGCAAACCACATACCCTCAGAGCCTCAAGCAGTGTTTGGCAGTATTGTATCCAGATGACTAAAAAGCTACCCTTCAACTGTCATAACAATTTTAATGCTTCGTCTTGCAATAGAGACACGTTTATTTTAAACGATGGGTATTAATTAAACAAAGTGCCAAGTATATAAACATTGTGTACCATGCTGTTAGAAAATAAAGGACATTTTCATGAAAACTAGGTACGTCGTTTCATTTTGCCCGTGGTCAGAGGAAGGTGTAGACGAAAATCCGAAACACCTGGTGCCCTTTCATATAAAATCCTACACTTCAACCTGTTCATATTATTTATTTGCAATGAAGTCAAAGGGATTTGTTAACATTGTTTAAGAAAGGTGGAATTTACGGCCATTGTGATTGCAAATGTGTTTAGTTTTTTTTTATAATAGGGTGCACTAGTCTCTACAAAGAGGAATATTCAGACTCTGATTTTTTTTCTTTTTTTTGTTTTCCACTATTCCTGGTGTGAGCAGATTGACCCTGTGAAAAATAAGCCAAATATATTTAATTCTAAGTTGTGTTTTTTGTAGGTGTATTTAGCGATGGAAAATGACCATTTTACAGTACGTAGAGAATTACCGTACAGCCATTCATACAAAGTCTCCCTCTAAATAAATATAATGCATATGTGCACACTGCAGGCATGGGAGTACTGTACCATGTGTATCACTTCCTCTGCACAGGTTGAAGTTATTCCTGCTTCCTCCTCCTTTTATTTTTTTAGCTCAGGGTGACTTAAACCCCCAGACTTTTCCTGGACTTTTCCTTTTCCTCAGTATTAATTCCTGCGTCATCATCGCTGCATGTCAGGATGACAAATCGCGTAGGCAGACCGCGAAGGTCCTTCTCCAGCCTTCTGAGGGAGTGATGGGGGAGACTCCAGAGGAACGGGTTAGTACTGTATTTTGGTATATGCTGCTGGTCTATTGGGGGGTGGGCAGGGTGCCATTTTGGTTTTGTGCCTGTAAGCTCTACCCAACTGCTGAAGAGCTCAGAGCACCTGCCTGTGATCAGCTGGCCAAATGGAATTGACCTGAGGACTTGGAAGTGGTGCTGATGCCGTGGGAGACTATAGATAGATGAGCAGGGTATCTAAAAGCAGGCTTATCTACTGGTCCTCTTTGACTTCCACCAGGACAGAGCAGGACAAAGCGTAGAGGAGAAATGTGTGACAAGTACAGTTAAGGCAATATTATTCACTGCTCTTGGGAAGCCAGAATAGCCTTGTTTCATACGTGGGCCATCAGCATTCATACCTAGTATTGCTTAAAGGCTGATAGAAACGTTCGGACTCCGACACGGCACATAACCCTTAATTACTGATCACCCGAACCCTGCCATCTTAAAACCCTGAACTCCCTCTTGTCCCCCAGACAGGACAGAGGAAAGAGGAGCTGCAGGTCACTTCATTTCCGACCTGAAATAAGGTTCTGCTTCCCTGCCCCACCTGTGTGAAGTCATTGGGTTATAATCATTAGCGTAATGTCCAAGCAAAAAATAGACGTTCTGGTGCAGTTTCACAAATGGGATATACATTTTTTCATGAAAACAGGAAGGAACTAGCAAGGAAGGTTGTTGGGTTTTTTTGTTTTTTTTTGCAGTGCACAATGTGAAAAAAACAGGTTAAAGGGCTTTGGTTTTTCTCAAGGGTTAACTGTGCATAAAAGTACGTTTACTGTAAAAATACTGGTAGTTCCTCCCTGCCTGTGTTTGTGTGTGTGTGTTGGGGTTGTTTTTGGCTTGGTTTTTTCGGTTTCTTTTTTTGCGTTCCGGTTTTTTTTTTTGCATGTTTTCACATTTTTCCCCAACATGGGGGTTGGAGGTCAGCTGATTTGAGCTTAAAGAAAACACACATGCAGGCCTCTGTTTGTCCAAGGAACAGGTGTTTCCACGGAAACACGGGCAATCAATGACAAAGGAGAAGGGAGGGAGGTTCCTCTTTCTGCAGTCAAAATAAAGTGGCTCAGATAACCTAAGATAGCCTGCCTCTAGTTTTGCTATGCAGTACATATTTAGCTGGCATACAGTCTATTTAATGCAAACAGGGTATCTGCAAGAATGTGTTTATACAGGGAGAAGTCACACGTTAATGAGTGAACAAGAGCCCTGCTGACCCCAGATAGTGTTACACTGGCAAAAAGAAGCATAAACCACAGACTCTCTCCCCAACAGGTTCATCTTTCTTTGTTACACAAGATATGAGGTACGAGCTGTCGGAACCAAGACAGGTTAAAGGTTTGCCGTCTTCTGCAATGAAGGTCACGCGCTGTGGAAACATGAGGACCTGACACTTGATTGAGATCACAGAGTAGCTGCTTGCTGTTTGACATCCTTGTGTCACGTCCAAACTTCAGAGTTGTGCTGTGTTTGAATTTCTCCCTGGAGTGGGAGCTTGAATCGCATTCCCAAGCCAGCCTGAAGAAAAACAGAAAACGTTTTTAAAGGACTTGCCTTCTGTCTAAACTCAGTGCCCTTTTCCCCTGATGTCCCCTTACTGCATTGCGGCTTGTCACTGATTGATCCTCAGGAGTGCTCTTCAGCTGCTTGCTCCTGTTCTGGCTGAAACAGGGCTGTGGGGACGTGCAGATCCCTAGGGACAGCTGCGTGCCTGTATTTTTAACTGACATCTCCGTGATCCAGCCAGACCCTTCCTGTAACAGAGTAGCTGGATCTGGAGGTTAAAGTATCGGTTAGGCTACCAGTGGCCAGCCTAAAGACACTCCACTCCAGGGAGAGAATGTATGATCTAAATGCGTGGGGTTGTTAGGGCACTGGTATCATCTGTGTGAAGCCAGATTCTCCTAAGACTTCCGTCGGTCCTTGGGTTAGACTCTCACTGTCAGTCAGGGCAGAGAGAAGCCGGCTCATCGGTTCTGGAGACCTCCAACGGAAACTAGGCCGTTGCTGTTATAAATTGTGTTGGAGGACTAATCGGTGGCACTCTGACCTCTAACCCACACTTTGTGAAACGGCGCCCCAGTATGTTTACCGGGGGGCACTGTGCCGTAAGCGTTGCCATCATTTCCAACAGAAGTTAAAATTATATCTTGACTTCTTGGTCAATGAAGATGGCATGCCATTGTAAGAGTGTTAATGGTAGCATGCTGTCTAAATTCCACTCTGGGCTTGTGTGGTCCGGCGTTATTGTAGTTCCGTCTTTGTCCAGCTGGTGAAGCAGTTTCTCACTCCTCCCCCTGCTCTGCTGCTGAGCAGCGGGGCTGCTGGTGTTGAATGGCTGACCCACATCACCCAGGTGATGGTGGATGAAGTGGGTCTTCGAGACCAAGACTACATCTCCCTCTTGTGGTAGACTTTGGTAATTACATCTGTGTCACACGAGTTTCTGTTGTTTCTCACTACCTCTAAATTTCCATTATTGTTGATAATTTAACTTGAGTCTCAGCTGTAAAAATAGCTTGGATCGCTTGCTTCCAGCTTGCATGTGCATGCTACTTGATGGTTTTAGAAATGGATAAGCCCATTATTTTTGGATCATTTGTTTGGATAGTGAGGTAAAAATAAACAGTGTTCTCGGAAAATCTTGGACATCTTGCATTGTTCTGCTTGTTTCATTTGACGTTTTTCCTCCTATATTCAGAAACAACTCTATGGCAATTTTTATCTTGACATTGTAGCAGTCTGCATTTTGTTGTACAAAAAGAAAACTTTCAGCTTTGTGGAGGAGTAGAATGAAACAATTATGCAAATGATGAGGAACATTTGACAATAAGTCCACTGGGCCTGAGCGATGACTAAAATAATGACATTGGCAGTCCATGTGAAATTTACCTTGAGTTGTTATGATCAGGTTTTTTTTTATGATTCCAAACAATGCGAAATAAAACTTATTTTAAAAAACGTATAATTACTTAAAAGCTGTTACAATAGTAGAAAACAATATTGGAGTCATTGAGTTAACTGTTGGTGTACATAACGCTTATATATTGTAACCCTTAATCAAATCTAAGGTGTCCAAGACTTTTCCACGGAGCGGGATTTAAACCGTATATAGTTGACAGTAAATATATATACCTCAGTACTAGCATCCTACTCCCCATATCACGATCTTCATTCATCCAATTCTGACCCCCAAGCCCATCTACATACTACGGGCAACCTGGCTTCTCCTGCTGCACCCCAGAGCTCGGGAATTCTATCCATAAGGATATCAAAGAGTCACCTTCCTAGACCACTTTCAAATCCTGACTCAAAACTTTCTTCTTTAGGAGGGCTTTTATTCAACTGCTTCTCTCTGCCTCTTTGCTTTGCTATTGCATTCCAAAGCCTTTTTGTCATTGTGCCACTCTGCTGTCTCCTCTCATTGTGTGCTTTTTACTTTTTTCTAACTGTAAAGCACTTTGAGAATCCCCTTTTAAAGGTGCTATATAAAATAAAGTTTATTATTATACTTGCATGATATGGGCATAGAGTACATGTTTCTTTGCCCATGAAGAACTAGCAGGCCCTCACATGACGGAGAGCCAAAAGAAAGGATAAGTGCTGATCAAGGTGTTTATTTGCTAGAGGCCTCTAGTCCACTTCATAATGTCATGCATTAGAGGCTACATTTCAGCTGTGTGATCTGAAGGTTAGTTACAATGCCAAAGTCTCTTTGGGGAAAGAGGCTGCTACTATTCTCAGTCCAGATTAGCTGCCATTTTCTGCACTTTGTGGCTCAGGGTCCCTGCTTCACTGTGGCATCTGAAGTGATCCTTTGAGTTGGCTTTAAGCACAGAGTGGACAAATGAACAGAACTGCTTTCGGTTTTCCACAGAGAAAGTCGGGCAATGGGATGTACCCAGATTACTTTCCTTGTCCATCTCTGTTTGACATCCCATCAAGAATCTCTGATTCGAACTTCTTCCAGAGCAGGAAAGAGTTTTATTCAAAATACCTACATGAACTCGGGGAACGTGCAGACTCCACAAAGACACTCAAGACCAAAATTGACCCAGAAACCTGAAGGTGTGAAGCCATTATTCACCCTGCTTACCTTGTGTGTTGAAGCTTTTTCACATCACTGTCCTCGGATGAAATTTTATACTTAGATTATCCTAAAGCAGACCGGTGAGAAATAACCTTATGTTTTAATATTTACTGAACTTGCAAAAGCTTTACGTATGACAATCGTAATTTATGGAAATGCCTTTTATTCATTTATCAAATGAGATCATACATGGGGCTGCTTTCACAGACGTCAGTGTGGACGGGACGCCGTAGCTCTTAATCTGTGTTTCTGTCCAACATGAAAGAAGCTTTTTTAATTATTCAAAGTGTTTTTTTACAAATTGCACGGTTATTACTCAAGGATTTTCTCGCGGACAGTACGAAAGGGTTGTAATTCAGCATTCACCCATGGGAGGGAGCTCTGAACAAAAAAAAAACGATAACAGAGTGTACTATACACGGTCGTCGATGCTACCTTTTTTGTCAAAGACTAAAAATGAATAACGAATCGCACAAGCTACAGCTCATTAACAATTGACTGCATGTCCGTCTACAACTACATGCCCAATTTGCAAGCAAAGCATCTATCCAATAAATCCTTATTTTAAAAAAGCAAGTCTACTTGGTTCCGAAGTGAAATCGCTCCTTCTGGTTCCGGTTATGAGCCCGGTAAAACGCACAGTTTTATTTATGTGCAGTATTAGCAAAGCGTCGCGCCGTCGGATTTCCTTCATCTTGTCTTCTGTCAAACTGAGGCCAAAACCACTTTCCCCCCAGCTGGGGGGGGGGGGGGGGGCTTCTCTGCTTGGTAAAATGGCTTTGTTTGATCTCTTAACCAAACGACACAAGTCGCACACCGTCGAGATTACTGCGACTGGTGTATAACTGAAATAAGCTGGTTTTTCCATCACGGGTTTTTTTTTTTCCCCGCTTTTGTTTTTTTTTTGTCCCGATGCGGGGTTGGTCCCTCGCAGTTGGTATCGGCCGCCGAGTCTTGAACCACAGCCTGACGTACAGAGGAGGAGGAGGCGGCGGCGGCGGTGGTGGTGTTGTTGTAGGTTGTGAAGCGTCAGAAAGAAAGAAAATATCTTTAAAAAAAACGGGTATTTCTCAGGACAGCGGTAGCAGCGAAAAGAAAGAAGAAGAAAAAACCTTAACTCCTCGGGTGAGACGCGGAGCCCAGACGTGGAGGCTGTGAAACGACCGCTGGCTTGGGACTGAAAATGGCAGCGTCCAGTGCCCGGTCTGCAGTCTGTTTACACAGGAAGTGCTGTTAAAGGGGCAGCCGGCGGGGGAAGTCGGGGTGTCCGGCGCTCTGGGCCGCAGGTGAGCAGGTTTCCTGTCTGCTTTCGTGCCTGCCCCGGTGTCGGGGGTGCCTGGGTGCGCCAATCCGGCCGCTGTCAGGCCCCGGTGAGCTGGGCTGAGGGGTCGGTCCTCCTCCTATCGGTAGTTTATTTTTTTGTGTGTCTGTTTTCGTCTCCCGTCGACCCGGGATTACAAAACAAAACGCGTGTTTGTGTTTGTGTGTGTGTGTACGTGCGAGAGAGAGAGAGAGAGGAAGAGGGGGGTCTGAAACGCGTTGTTGACTTTTTTTCTTGTGTCTTTGAGTGCCGCTCGTCTTCCTCGGGCCGGAAACGCGACCTGGAATGAAACGGGGTGGGAGTGGGAGTGGGGGGGTCCAGTGGGTACCCCCCACACGCTACCCACACAAGAGCAATAGAAACTGTGGTTCTTGTTGTATCCCCCTTCCCCATCGGGCTTGCCGGTGTGTCAGAAACCGCTCCTGGTTTCTGACCGGGGCTTGAAGACGGTGTCCTGTTAAAACAGGGTGGTGCTCTGATGGAGGCAGGGAGATCTGGCCTCCGGCTACAGTGCTCTGTACCCCCCACCCGTTGTCCTCGCGTATTGCAATGCTGAGACCCCGGCTTGCAGACGCAGGCATGATCTCTCTCTCTCTCTCAACCCCCCCGCCCCAGCACAGTTCAGCTGTTTCACTGCGCTAGGATCTCGCTAATCCTCAACCGGACGGCGCAGTCGGGTCGTGTCGTGTCGTTCACCGCTGATCGAGCCCTCAACAGCAGTTATGCAGCGACGCCCAAAATAATCGATAACCTCTAGAGCAGTTGGCGCTTGGCCACCCCGGGCTGAGATGTAGGGGTCCCAGCGAAGTGCCCCCCCCCCCCGATTTCGGTCGGTGGGATGTGCGATCAGGCTCTTGTCAAATAACTGTTTGTTGTGGAGACCGCTGTATCCTCCCGTTAAACTAGCCGGGGGTCTCCGCTGAGAAACTGGGGCTGGACGGGTACCGGGCTCCCACGGTACGGGCGGTCGTGGGTTCAAATCCCAGCTGAGAGGCGCTGCTGTGTCCCTGCGCACCGCCTATCGTGTCGGATCGCCCTTTCTGTACCCGCAGAACTGGGCTTGCAGATCTCCCATCGCTTGGGTGAACAGCGGCGGCCAGACAAAGGAGTCGTTGTGGAGATGAGGCATCGGTAGGTTTGGCTCCGCGGCGTGAATCCGTTGCGATCGTGGTGGTTGCCGACTCCTTGGAGAGGACCGGAGCGGCAGAGTTGTGGTACTTTGTGTTCCTCGGTCTGTAAAAAAAAAAAACCGTAATCCGCAAACCTCCTTGGTCGTCAACAGCAGCAGCTGTTGTCTCCTTCCCCTCTGAAAGACAGATATTCCCTTCCGAAAGCGCAGAACGGTAAGGATTTGAGCTTTAAAAAGGGGAGGTTTTGTTTTGCGTTTTGCTGTTTCGCGTCGGGAGACGCGTCGCTGCCGTGCCGGCATGCGGGAGCCCTTCCCGAGCAAGTGGGTGTCATTCGTGGGAGATTGCAAGGCACGAACCAGCGTCAAATGTAGGTCATTTCAAATGATATCACAGGCCGGAGCGTCGCAAACTAGGCGCTGGATGTTCCTGTGTTTTCAGGATGTATTTATTTGTTTGTTTTACTGGCGCGTCGTTGGCCCCGCTGTGAAGTTGTTCACTCAACACACCCCCTCCTCTCCTGTCTCTGGTGTTCTGCCCAGCAACACGCACCGCGACAGGACTCCCCTGCACACCAGCCAGAGAGAAGTTGCCCCCGGTGCACGTTTGTAAACACCGCTGACGCCGCACAGACTTGATGCCGCTTTAAGGCAGATGTCATGTGCTCTCCGGAGAGCCCCAGTCCGGCAGATCTTATGGCTCCTCTCCGGAGAGCCCCAGTCCGGCAGATCTTATGGCTCGCCACTGAACCATTTCTGAAGACAGTTGATGAGCACTTTCATGGGGAATCAATCAATCAATCAATCATTTTTGCTATAGCGCACCTCTCGGCAGTCTGCTACAGAGCAGTACTCATCTGTTAACTGTCAAAGGGGAACTACGGCGCTATTTGTATATGTCGGGGTTGGAAAGAATCGGCACTGGTGAGTGCATTTCAAAGCGCAATAAGAGTCAGATGCACGCTTGCAAAAACAACAACAACAACAACAGCAGCTCCAATCTCTTATCTCGAAGCAGACACGACGGCCTGTAGCCCCTGTTCCTGCTCTGCCTGCTCCGGGCGGGGGGTCCGGCGGCGATGGAGCAGTGCGCGTGTGTGGAGCGCGAGCTGGAGAAGGTGCTGACCCGCTTCCTCATGTACGGCCACCTGTCCGAGGAGAGCCTGGACGAGCTGCTGCGCTACGTGTCCGAGCTGCGGGGGCAGCTCATCGCCTACGGTAAGGCACGGGAGCTCCCGGCTGCGGGCCCTCACTTTTGTTCACTTATTTTTATTTTTTTTAATTAAATAAGGCATGTCCTGCTGTACAATTGCGGGAGGGAGAGCAGCACACAAGAGCGGGACAAGACTGAGTGAGAGTGTACGGTGTGCTGAAGCAACAGCCGGTGACCAATCCACCTTTAACGCCAAACCAGTCGATGGGAATATGGCTGGGACCTTGAGGAACATGTTCGTAAGGACAGCCAGCAGCTTCACTAAAGCGTCTGCACATGCAAATGATCCTTAACAGGATAGGCAGGTCTGCAGATCCTCTTTCCAACTCCTAAAGCGACTACTTGCTGACTTTATTGGACCACGTTAAGCTTCGCTCACAGCCCTCAGAGTGCTGCTGCTTCAAAGAGACCCATAAAACTTGCAGACGCTTGCAGACTTTGCTCTGCTTTAACGCAAGTGGTGATGTACATAGGAGAACTGGCCTGACAACTGCATCACTGATAATGGCCTTTATGGGCTTTAAAAGTGCTGTTAATTAACTTATTTTAGCTTGGAACGTTAAGTCTTTGATTTGTAAAAAGTGAAGTTAATTCGATTGTGGATCTGAAAAACTTAATTAGTTTGCCCAGAATTCTCTTTTGTAGGAACAGAACAGAAACAGTGGCACTAGAGCATTGCAAGAATGATTGCTTTAGTTGTTGAATCTGGTTGTCAATAATTAGGCTTGGTTTGCATGCCTGATAGAAGTGTGTGAGTATGGCAAATAAGGAAACTGACCTTTCTGTTTTTCGTCTACTATATGCCCATTCCAAATGAAATGTAGTGTGATCGACGTTTTTAAAGTCCTGTCACTTATGTAAATCAGAAGTGATCATCATATATTTTGTCTGATTTGACATTGGGAGGTGTTTGCTTCTCGTCACTTTCAGAAAAGAACTTTTTGTTTCGGAGAACATGAAAACCTGACTTGACTGCCACTTGAATTTAAAAGAAAGACTAAAGCACCCGCATGAAAAAAAAAATCCTGCGTTTTTCCTATTCTTTTTTTTTCCCCGTGTATGTGCGTTGGATGTCCTGTAAGTGCGCTGACTCGCCCAGTGATGGGCGGGAGAGTAATGGCAGCCCTTCTCTGCAGGTGTGCAGGACGCGGACCTGTCCGTGCTCTCGCAGTCCATGGCCCAGTGCTGCAAGAACATTAAAGACACAGTACAGATGCTGGCTTCCCGGCACAAGGACATCCATGGCAGCGTCTCCAAAGTGGGGAAAGCCATCGACCGAGTAAGTCTCGCTGGCCGAGGGGGCAGCTGCGTCAGTCCGATCCTCGCGCTCAGGTTTTGTCCAGGGAGGTGGCTGCTGGGAAATTACATCGCCCTGACTGTGGGGAAACTGCTTTCGCATCATTACGGTTCCATAAATGATAGAGCCCTCGGATCTACTTCTTTGCTGTCCGTCACCCATGTGTTAGCAAAGACTCTCTTCGGAGGCAGACCCAAAGTGGTCTTCCCTTAGTCGGACTCTTTCCTCATCGTCTTCCTTAACGCAAGCGTCACAACGTCACGGGAAGCTCAACACGACGTCATGAATGATTAGCCCCTGCATGCTTTTATGCTGCTGTTGTCATTGACTTTGCTGTTGCGTCTTGTGCGACGTGTTCATCCCGAATCTGTCTGAAAAAATGTTTCTGAAGACGGGAGAGATGAGGGGGGAAGAATGTGGATCCTTTTAGCAAGCAGTAAATGCTGCCCAGGGAAAACTCATTCTTACCCTTGTGTCCATTCATAAGTTCCTAAACGTAGTGATTACCATCTTTTTTTCTTCATACTACAAATGTTAACGAAGTAAGATGAAGTTCTAGCCACTTATTGTCCTATAGTTCTGGCTTGAGGCAGTTTTTCTAGTTCATTTTGCATAGCGATCATCGATGCCTAGTTCAGACCTGTCTGTGTGGCTCTAATGTTTCGTATTAAATAACGGATCCTAGAATTTATATTAAAATTAGAAGGTAATGTTCTTTTTCTGCCTTCCTTATTAGACCCACCTCGATTTTACAAGCCCTCCTCTGCCAAGCACAAGTTTCTGAAGTTCAGGGCGGCCTTTTCTCTCATGAAGTGTGAAGAAAGTTTAGTTTTCTTTCCAGATTCCGGCACAATTAACGGAGGATTCCACCAGTTGTGCATCTGCTGGACTCTGTTCATGTTTTGTTTGGGCTCTTCCTGTAGAACTTTGATGCAGAGGTGAGTGCGGTGGTGGCCGAGACGGTGTGGGACTCTCCAGAGAGGCAGAAGCACATGAGTGAGTCCATAGTGGAGCACCTCTATCGACAGGGCATGCTGAGCGTCGCGGAAGACCTCTGTCAGGTACATCCCAGCCTGAGCGCGAGACGCGAGAGAATTCTGGTCCCGGTTTATAAAGGGATCTTCGCTAGAATTTAAAAAACTCTCACTTCAGCTTCAGTGTTTTTTTTTTTTTGGTTGCTTGTCGCATGATCCTTTCTTTCCAGGATGGCTTTTGAAAGACCTCCGTGGTTCGCTTTTCTCATCTGCAGGAGTCTGGTGTGGTGATTGATACGAGCCTGAAGCAGCCCTTTCTGGAATTAAACCGGATACTGGAGGCGTTGAGAATGCAGGACCTCAGGCCAGCACTTGAGTAAGTCTCAAAGCTGATGACTGTTTTTTTTTAATGATCTCATCAGGGCTGTGTTCGAGTTAAAACAAAAAAAAAAAAGCCATTTAGTCCATCATAATAAAGAAAAAAGTATAAGCACACATGAAACCTAAGTAATTTAAAACACGATAAGAAAAAAATGTCTATGTTTAGTGAATTTATTAATATACATTTTATTTGTAGCGGCTTTTGACACACTGCATTGCATAAAGACATCACAGTAAAATTCAGTATTGTGAAGCAAATACAGAAGATAAGTCACAGATTATAAACACCCAATCTTTTGGGATGGAGCTCTAGTGCTTTCAAGGTACAGCAAGACGCCCGTCTCCCAGGCGGTTCAGAATAACAGTGGGAGCACTTGAACATGAATGAGCCGAGCGAAGGTCACGTGGAGGGGAGTGTATACCAGGCAAAGCCTCGAACCCACGACGGGGGGCCTGGGGATTGTCCCGAGTCAAGGAGGGCCACAGTACAGCAGGTTCTCCCATGGCTCAGTACTTTTGGAAAGAGGGATTGATTGGTTCAGTTAAGCCAGTGGTGTCCAGTTATGGTCCTGGGCAGCCAGTGTCTCTGTAAAGCTGTAAAGACAGTCAAAGGCTAGATGGGGTGCTTAGGATTCCAAAAAGAAAAAACAAATGCCAATACATGAACTGACCAGGACCGGACCCCCCTGATTTACACAAATAAAGCCCGGCGCTCAAGAGCCGAGGTGCAGTGAACTGAAGCTCTGTACTGTACGTCCCTGCTCTGGTCTGTCGGAATTTAAAAGCAAAAGAAATGCCGAGTGAGGAGCCGTGAGTGACGGGCAGGTTCCTCTGTCTCCAGGTGGGCTGTGGCCAACCGGCAGCGCCTGCTGGACTTGAACAGCACCTTGGAGTTCAAGCTGCACCGCCTGTACTTCATCAGCCTGCTGACCGGCGGCATGGGGAACCAGCTGCAGGCGCTGCAGTACGCCCGCCACTTCCAGCCCTTCGCCGCTCAGCACCAGAGGGGTGAGTGGGTTCGGGGTCGGAGCCTTCCTGCGCTTCTCGGTCTCTCCTGCCGTTTTCGGGACTGTGGCGCGGCATTATTAAATAACCGTTTCCACAGGATTGCACAGTAGCCTCGGGCCATGAAGAGAGCCCGGTATCGCCAATCAATACACACTGTTTATGTACACTCATCAGTACTATACTGTATAAATATAGTATATATCATTTTGTATGTACAGCAGTCGTACGTTTTTAATAATTTTGATTATATCTCTGATTACACGTACATTAAATAAAGTAGCATAGCAGACGTCACCGCACCGTAACAATAACTTGTCTTGCACACTAAGACCTGTAGGATGACTTAAGGTAAACATGAGAATCAAAAGCGTTCTCTGCCCCTTTGCAGACATCCAGATTCTGATGGGCAGCCTGGTGTACCTGCGGCATGGAATTGAGAATTCCCCATACCGCAGCCTCCTGGAGACCAACCAGTGGGCAGAGATCTGCAACATTTTCACCAGAGATGCCTGCGCTCTTCTGGGGCTCTCTGTAGAGTCCCCTCTTAGCGTCAGGTAGGTGCTGAACCTGTGAGCTTATGGAGCAGCCCCAGCCCTGGATAGCCGCAGTCCAGCAGGCGTCCTGCAGGTCAGCCGTTTGTAAAGAACTGGGACACACGAGTCTTCGAGAGTAAGTTTTAACAGATTTGGTTTAGCAAATGAATTTGGTTTAGCAGTGAATGGCCTGGTGTGGTCCCTGAGAGCTACAGGGTGTCTAGGTTTTCTCTGATCTGCTTAACCGGACCAATTCCCCACTAATCTTTAATGGATAAAAAGAGATTATTTCAAATGTCTGGAGATGGACGAGTTAAGTTGGGCCTGTGCAGTCGGCTGGTTTGTGCCTCTTCAGGGCCGGGTTTGACAGCCTTGTATTGGAGACTAAATCATTCCCCCCCCGTTCTCCTCTCTACCTCAAGCTTTGCTTCAGGGTGCATGGCTTTGCCTGTCCTGATGAACATCAAGCAAGTGATCGAGCAGAGGCAGTGCAGCGGCGTGTGGACCCACAAGGACGAGCTGCCGGTAATGCGGACGGTCTCCTCGGTACCCCCACAGGCTCCGGCCTGCGATCCGGTCCACCAGGAAAGAGAAGAAGCGATGTTTCTTTAACCCTTTTTAGCTTTCCCGTGTGTGTCGAGGCAGTTTCCGTATGGAACGATGTCCTCTTAGTCATTTTGTAATAATTTTGTAATTATAGACAGTAGCGGCCTGGTTCAGGGCTTAAGAATCCCCCTGCTGCCCTGATGGCACATGGCGCCCTTGGTTTTCCTCTAGTCTTTCTGGCCACCCTGTTGCTTCTTTGTTTCCCTTCCACTTCCGTTGGCGTAACTGTTAACCAGTGTCTCGCCACTGTTTGATTATCATTTAGTGTTGCTGACCCTATTCTGTTATACAGTGGTACTGCTCTCAAAAACGACACTACATTGTCATTAAAAAAGGGGCACGCCTGAGCTGGGGCACTCGTTTATGAAACAAAAAGTGTTCTTTGTGTTCCCTGTTCTGCTTTTTGTTTGCGGGACAGGGTTTTGCTTTCCCAAAACGTCAAAATACAAGACAAAGATAAATATTTTTCTTTTATGGGCACAAAGTTCCACAGTCTGTATCGCCAGTTTGTAAGCTAGCGCCATGTTTGTTAATCCATTCGTTTGTTAGTTCCTGGGTGAAGAGGGGTGTGTGGAGTCCTTGTCCTCATGTCCACGTAATCTGTCTCCTGGAGTTTTATCTCCAGCATTGTTTCCGGACATTCATATTCCAGGTCGCAGCCTGCTGCTGCCTTGACCTGCTTGTGATTCTGGTGCCACGGCCACACTGTCATCAGTCTCTCTGCTGTGGGCTGGGTAGTCAAGCTCACTCTGGCAGTATGCAGTAATTAAGCTGACAGGTGTGCTGACCATTATGAGCTCCCAGACCTAGTGCGCTGCTGGTTTTAAGCAAGGAACTACCAGTGAGCAGGCACGTCTGTGGTTTAGACATGCCCTCTACAGCGACAGTGAAGGCATGTGTACTTAAAATACAGCATTTTAAAAAAACCTTTAAAAAATATCCTAATTACTCTGCTGTTGCCTCAAAACGCCCAACAAGGGCCACAATGGAGTAGTTCTGTACTAGGAGGTATTATAGCTAGCATGTAAATAAAAGCCATCATTTTTCTTACATCCTAGATCCCCAAATGTCTTGCATATGTTCAGTCCCCAAATTCTTTTTGTTCTATTGTTTCTGGGAAATTCACATTTTTGCGCTCCGAAGTGAAAGCATTTTGTCACTCTCACCTGAAGGTCCGTCTGCTCTGTCTCGTAGATCGAGATCGATCTGGGGAAGAAGTGCTGGTACCACTCGGTCTTCGCCTGCCCCATTCTGAGGCAGCAAACGTCCGAGAGCAACCCTCCCATGAAGCTCATGTGTGGACACGTCATCTCCCGGGACGCGCTCAACAAGCTCACCAACGCCGGAAAGTCAGTGTGCTTTCGAGCTCCGTCGCCTTCCGCCACGAGGGGCGATAGTAACTATCGCATGAGTATTGAGTTGGCCAGCCCCGTCCTTTCCCTTTCTCACACTGATGCCTGGATTCAATCAAGACCCCGGCTCACCCCAGTTCACCGCACTCGCTTCTTGGTGCCAGGTTTGAATTCTGGGGAAAGAGAAAAGATTCTTGCCTGAAACAAAAACGTGGATGGTTGAGTCCAAGTCCCAATTTCTTCTGGGGCTCAGAGATGAATTTAGTTTTAGATTTAAAGCTTTTATAATTCTGTTTATGGCAGGAGCTCACGTCTAGTAAAATAAGCTGCATTTGTATTGGCAAAATCGGGTGGTCACTGTTAAAAAAATGCTTTAGGAAAGCGCAGTGAGTGTTATGAATTGATAGTGTCATTGAGAGCCCCCCATTGTGTTAACATTATCCTTACCCTTGAATTTGCTAACCTTCTGTTCTCTCCACAGATTGAAATGTCCATATTGCCCAATGGAGCAGAACCCTTCAGATGCCAAGCAGATCTACTTTTGATGTCACGCTGGAGGAAGACAAGATTGGAACTCCCTCGAGCTGCACTCGGGACCCAACTTCACAGGCAGGGAAACGGTTGTCTTGAGTGGTGGTCAGAGACGAAGCCTCGGGGAATGTCATACCCTCCCTTCACACACTATAGTTAGTTTACAGGGACTCTGTGTTTATGCTGGGAGTCTACCATTAGGCAGATTAAATACTGTACCTCATCAAGTAAATATTAAAAAAAAAAAAGGATCATTACCATTCAACATCTGTCTGCCGTCTGGTACTGTAACCTTTTTTTTTGTCTGTTAAAGAAATCACGGTTAGTCTTTGATGGGATCTCTCGCTACGTCACTACAATTATTTAAACTGCAGGAGAGGACTGACTTTAAATGGCACAGATGTCACTGATTTCTGGTAGCCACTGTAAATAAAAGGACAGTTTTTATATCCAATAATTGTTCCATGAGTAGCTAATCTATACCTCTCCTCTGTAGAAGTGGATGTAAATACAGAATTATAACACTTCCATGTTTTCACTCTTAAAAGCAAAATAGTTTCCACAGTGAGCATGTTAACCAGAGTTCACAATTGGGCAAACAGAAGGTATACTTCGATACATGGCTGACTTCCCTCTCATTTGTATTGTCATTACGACGTACCTGAAGGTTTTACCAAACACTGAAGGTGTACATCCAGTATTTTTGTATTAAAATGGAAAAACTGAAAACTTTTAAGTCTGAACACCGTAAGGACAGATGTGTTTAGCATAATGGCATGTTTCTCTGAAAGTGCTGTGTTTTGGAATTATTTGTGCTCCATTGATCTGCCTTCCTCTGTGCTAACAGGGGAGACCCTGTCAGTGTGTGCAGGCTCTTCTCAGCAGGAATCCCTGACCTGTCCTCCGTGCAGGACGTCTGCAGCCCCTTCAGGTCCTTTAGTTCACATGTTGTTGTGGACAGGGGGCTGGGGGTTCTGATGGCCCAGCAGGAACACACTTCCTGAACCATCCCGCGGTGGATTTGGAGGCTGTGTGCTGTGGCTGTTCCTTGCTGGAACCACGTTTTCCTGATATGCTTGGTCATCCGTCTATTTCTGTTAGGGACCCAGGATCAGACAACTCAAACAGTCCTGCCTCCAAACTTAACGGGACAGGGGGTGTTCTTTTTCAGCGTGGGCTTCCTCATGTTGAACTTGCAATCACACCTGTGCCCTTTGTGTAGGTGTCCTGTTGATGAGAGAGTCTAAAAACTCAATTTATGCTTCATCCCACTACGTAATGTGGTTGTTATTTGACAAATTAATGTTTTTTTTTTGTCCTGGAACTGCTAGGGACTCCAGAATAATGAGGTCGGCCACAATTAATCAGCTGTACCAGAGTTTTCTGAATATCCCAGTTGTTGCCCTTGGATGTTAACCCCACAGATTACACATTAATGCAAAACATTATTGTGTCCTCCTCCTTGTGTGGCAAAATCTAGCCCATTATCCGTGAATTTCTAGATGAAGAACACCACAGGTAACAGTTCTGGTTGTTTTTTTCTGACTGAAGCAGTCTTTTTGTTTCAATATTCTGTGTCCTTGAATACCCAGTGACAATCAAGGTAAGGCTTTTTATGAACATCGAGTATTTGTGAGACTACATTACCGGAAAAATGACTTTTTGACATAAAAGTATTTGAATAATTTTGGACGTAGCATATTTAACAAAATATGCTGTATTATTGCACAGGTTTTACAATATCCAGTACATATTCTTACAATAATTTAGATTTTCTTTTATTTAAATATTTAAAATACTGAATGTACATTTTATTTTTGTAATCACAATAAGGCTGTAAATAAATGACCATGGTATATAAGAATAACGATGCTAAACCAAGTTTAAATTTTCCACGTTTGTGAAGCTTTGATTCAACAGTTAAACTTTTCTGACGGTCAGCCTGTATTGAAATGTACTTTGGGGTTCTTGGGAACAGTCATATGACCAGAGGGCTGGGGTACGTAACGAAGCCATTTTTCAAATCTAAAGAAATATCCCCTCGAATACGTCTTTTCACCGTCGACTCTCCAGTGGGAGGGCAGTTAAGAATGTACCATTCTGTAGCTGACAGGGCACGAAAACCACTGTTGAGGTTTTGCTTTCCTCAATCCTCCGGTTTCTGGGCCTGGGCTCCCCATCGCGGGGGGGCGCGGGCTTGTGACTCCCTTCCTAGAAACTTGAACGTGCGCTGTGAGCCGCTGTTGTGAACACGGCCGCAGCTCGGACCCTAGTACATCAGGGTGCTTTTAATTTATCTTTCATTTTTATTGCTTTCATATTTTTACGTTGAGTATTTTTTAAACGCAGTATGTTCGTAGCAACGTGCCTCCATAGTCACCTGTGCTTTTCTCATTTCCATCCTGTATTCCCGCAGCTCCTGGTGTTTCTTGTAGATGTCACCTGCTCCAGATTTTATATAACAATATGGGTATTTGTTTTTTTTTTTAAAGGGTAACTTTTTCAATCCTATTTCCATTTCATTTGAAATAGAGCAATAAGCATATGCAAATATATTGTACGTTGTCACATTTTCTTTTGGAGATTTGTTTTAATGATAACTCTACCACAGTGAGTTTTTGTTGTGGTTCCAGACCTCTTCTGTGTGCTGGTATTTGAAAGTTGTCTGCAAGATGCTTTCCCCCATGTGGTGTCCTTACATGCTTTTTCATCAGCCACCACTATTGCAGTGCTTGGTATCGCAGCAGTGCAGGAGCACAACCTTGGACTACTGGGTATTAATAGACATGGAAGAAGGCTGAATCCCCTGAGGAATATAAGCACCTCAGTTCCTGATTGTCGAAGTTGTTTTTATTATTAAGGTGTGATCTTTTTTTGTCCGCTTGTTGTTAACTCGTTTGAACTGTTTTGTTTCCATGGTAGACAATCTGTCTTTGCCACCTGTGGAACCCAGAAGGCTTTGAAGCAGAAAAGCTGGGTTTAAAAGTGTTGACCCATCAATCTTACTAGAGTACTTGCACATCGATATGTAGCCTCTGAACATTGTGTGACAGGCATGCATTTCCTGGTTACCATAATGTTAATGCAATTTTTATTGTACATATTTATCCTTTAATAAATTTCATATTACACATGTATCATATTAAAATGAACCTTTGTACTGCACATCCTTTGCACTTTTTATTCTCGTGAAAACTTTCTCGGGCTCTTTAAAATGACACCTTGTCCAATGAAACCGATCAGGCACTGCCGGATGATGTACAATTCCTATTTGAGCATAAATAGTTTTGCATTTCCTGTTTATTTTTGGCATGTGACAGCCCTTTGAACTTTCCTTTTGGCCACTTTCCCGATTAAGAACAGTAAAATCTGCTAGTAATGAATGAGGCCTGAGCTGCTTTTCACTTACCAGCATGGGGACATAATGAGTGTTTTGTATTTGATCCTGCAGTTTAGCGACTGCACCATAAAAAAAGAATCTCAGCTGCTTGTTTTACAAAAAAAAGGTACTGTACTATGATGGAAGTACATCGAAGTTTGAATTTCTGCAGAACTTATCTGAAATCGTATCCTTCACATGAAACCGTTCCCCTGTCCAGTACTAACTTTAAACACGTTAACAACTCCAGTCATTTCAGAGCTGAAATCACGTCCGGTCAAACCAACTCAGTTCACTGTTCAACTTGGTAGCCAGCGCAGAAGGCACCGGAGACACAAGGGCTGGTGGTGCAGAGTCTGGTCTCCACCCTGCTCACCAGAGAGCCCCTTCCTGGTGTATGGGTTGGCAGCATGTTGTACCTCATTCCACCAGTAGGTGGAACCATAGGTTCCAGGCTGTGGTCCTGCTGAAGCATAGAGTCCAAACTGTCTCCCAGCTACTGTGAAGGACGGAGGAAGACGGGGGACCCAGCTCTCCAAAAAAGACCCCTGCCCACTGACCTCCGGCTTTCCCCGTCTTGTCAGTTTTTCGCACAGGCCACACGGTGAGGCAAAAATCTCTCGGCTCCTGCCCTTCCAAGACAGGCAAATAAATAACCCCCCCTCCTTTTAAAAAAAAAAAAAATTGACACTTTTGAGATTCAGTGCATCCTTGTTCAGTAGTATAAAACCCAGCTCCCAGCTGGTGGAGATGATCTTCGCAAAGTGCAGACCTTTGAGTCTCCATTCTCAGGTCAGCTAGTGCCAGATCAACCCTCGAGGCTCTTCAAAAACAAAAAAAGGTGTATTCTTCAACTAGTTCATTCTCAACTGTCCAATTATTGCAGGACAATGGGAGAGGAGTAAAAAAAACCTCTGCTGAGACAGAACAAGCCCTAGCCAAAGGTAGCTTCCCTCACAGCAGGTGCTGTTTTGGTCTTGCCAGTAATATCCATTAAAAAAAAAACACCCTGTTTCAGGCCCTACAAGGCCAGCAGGACCCTCGAAGGCTATAACTCGCTTATAGCAGGAACCTTCCTAGAGTGTTGGCATGAGTCCCTGCTCTTGTATAAGCCGTTGGGACTCTTTTTGTGTTGTCCTCGCCCTGCTGGATCGGACCCAGGTCTCTCTCTGTCACCAGGGAAGCTGTCGCTGTCGCTGTCGGCCATACCGCCCTGTTGACTGGCGCCTTGGGTCATAGTGGCTTGTCAACGACAGACACGCCTGCAGGGGAGGGAGATGTCACACATCAGCAGCAGCAGCCCCAAGTGATGCCGCAGCTCTCTCACCCCGAGACCCACCCCTGGAGCCCAGCCCGTGGGAGCCTGGCCAGTACGCGGAGGGGAGACCTCCTGGGAAAGCTGAGGCTGCTGCTGGAAGTGGTGTTAGAGGGGCCAGTAGGGGGGCACTCACCTTGTGGTCTGCATAGGTCCTACTGCCCCAGTATCGTGATGGGGACTAGGGGTATATAAAAAAGTGCGCTGTCCTTTGGATGAGGCCCTGACTCACTGTGGTCATTAAAAATCCCAAGGAGTTTCTCGCAAAGAGGAGGGGTGTTAACCCAGTGTCATGGCTAAATTTCCCCCTGGCCTTTACCAATCATGGCCTCCTAATAACCCCAATCTCTGAACTGGCTCCATCACTCTGCTCTCCTCCCCACTGAGAACTGGTGTGTGGGGAGCGGACTGGTGCATCACCCAGGTGGGGCTGCACACTGCTGGTGGTGGAGGGGATCCCCATCACCTTGTATAGTGCTTTGAGTGGAGTGTCCAGAAAAGCGCTATGTAAGTGTAAGGAATTACTATTCACAACAATTGAATTTTACACTGGTCTCCTACAGTATCGCACATGTGTGCACGAGCTGTGATTTTTTTTTAAGTTTTAAAAGGCAGGTTTTCTAGAATGAACACTCCCACACACGCTGGAGTTGAGCTGTGCAGGTAGTACAAATGCAGGTCTTCGTCATAGTGAACACTGCGGTAGACACACATCGGCACAGATCCAAGGTTACAGTGTTAGTTTTTAGTTGTGCTGTGGAATGCCTGGGATAATGACTGGAATATGTTTGCGATGCAACTCTGTATCAGCTACCCAGCCGCATCAAGGTCAGTTCAAGTGCAGTAAGAACTGACTTTGTAAGAACAACAGTAATTGATCTGCTCCTAACGAGTTTGTTAAGTGTAGCAGTGATCTACTTCAAAGAACGGGATGTAAGCTACAGACCAACCCGTCGCTGACAATGTGAGGCTGTGTGGTACAAAAAGAAGCAGGCCGCGAGCTGTGGCAGTGTGTCTGTCCTGGGGGGGCCAAGGCGGCGCTGTGGAGGGTTACTGTGGACCGAGCTCAGGAAAGGAGGGATCTGCACAGGGCCTCATCCTGCTCCCCCGTCACCAAGCCCCCCGCACGGGCGCCCTCACCAGCGTAACTCCTGCCGTTGCTCATGTTGGTGGGCAGGAGACTCCAGGTGTCTGTGGTGGGGTTGTAGTACTCCACCGAGGACAGGTTACAGGAGCCATCGTCTCCCCCGATCACGTACAGCAGCCCGCTGATGGCACACACCCCTGCAGAGAGAGGCGAGAGGACGGCGCAGGTCACCCCAGGAACCAGCTGGGAGAGGGCCCGGGCGGAGCAATCACGGGGAAGAGAGAACATTTCTTTTCTGAACCGAGGCGCTTAGGGGAAAGTAACAATACGGTTCCTGGAAAAATGTGAAGAGATTTTTTTTATGAGTAATTAAAAAAACGTACGGCTTAACTGCTGACTTTAGAAAACTGCAGAATTAACTTTACTCAACAATGTGGGGCATTTAATTAAAATCCAGTCACCTAAAATCCGTTGAGTCTATTTGCCTTGATTTTTCCACAAATTCTCTGTGCTTTCTCAGGGTTATACCCATGATTTCACCCACAACCCTGCTCCTCTCCCTCTTTGCTCAATGCACACAGTTACTTCCAGCTCTGCTGTTAAACAGCACTCTCCTGGGTACCTCGCCTTTGCACAGAAGTACAGCTCTCAGCAGTTTGCATAACCATTTTCTCTTCACTCATTTTTCTTCCATTGCTCATCCATGTTCTGAAGAACAAGTGGGAGTTCTGGAAAACATACGCATGTTCTCCGCAGGCCAACGCCATTCAAGATCACAAGAACCACCAAGAACGCCCTGCTCCCTCGAGAGGGAGGGACACACAGATCGGCACAAGAGGTTGTGGGGTTCACTGCCTGGGCGGGGAGCTGCATCAGCCCTGCTCTGGCAGCACTGGGACAAGTACAGAGCAGGAAGGGGAATGTTTCTGCTGGTGAGCCTCCTGCCAGCGTGAGGGAGTGAGGGAGTGAGGAGGAGGCTGGAATGTCAGGCACAAAAGAAGGAAGGGCAGAGCAGGTGAGAAAGAGAGCCCAAACGAGGTGTGAGAAGCTGAAAGGTGTAAAAGAAGAGAGGATTTAAGAAGAGTTGAGTCAATCGCATCGAGAGGAGGGAAGGCGCGATCCCAAGGTTAAGGATAATCTTGGCATCTCGTGTTTTCCTGCAGCAAGGGTCCTGAAATAAAAGGGTTCAGCCCGAGAGGCCTGCGTGCCGCCCTGCGGGGACCTCTGGTTTAGAGCGCTCGGGGGTCCGCTTACCTGCGTTGCGTCGGCACATGTTCATGTCGCACACCTGCCTCCAGGTGTTGCTGGGGGGGTCGTACACCTCCACGCTCTTCCTGACCAGGGGCCCATCGTGCCCCCCTGCCGCGTACAGCTGCCCCCCGAGGACCCCCACACCTGCACAGACACACGGCGCTGGGTCAGGGGCGTCAGGGGCGTCAGGACACCAGTTGTCTCCCCTCTCCCACTTACCGCACTGCGCGGCTCCCCCCCAGCTGCAGGCCACCCTCACGCCCTTCCTGCACAGCCCCGGATTTCCGGAACCTCAGCCTCGCTGTCCTGTAGCCCTGACCCCCGATTCCACATGGGGGGCCGACTCAGTTTTCCCATTTCGGATTGCAGTAATCCACCCCAGCAGCCTGTTCCGCCCTGAAGCGCACGCAGGTTTGAGGCCTGCAGAGCTGTTACACGTGAGAGGAGGCCACTGGGCCTGTCTGGCCCGTTCGGTGATCCCGCCCAGCCGTTTCCCGATATAAGCCAGGGCATCAGCTTCCACTATGTGAAGGGTCATTTGTTCCATACTCCTACCACCCTCTGGGTAAAGCATTGCTGCCTGCTCTCTGTTTTAAATGATCCTCCACATATACTCCCCTGGTGCCTTTCACTGTTTCAGGGTTTAAAGGCAAGATCAGATGAAATAACAGGCCTAGTTCGCAAAGCGATGGTCGCAGAACTTTTAATTAAAAAACAAGTAGTACGCCCATATGAGGCTGCATGATAGCTTTGTACTTCGACTACAAGCTTTCCTGCACTGTACTTCTAAAACCACGTGATATACTGAGATATTATAATGTCTGTGAATAACACACCCTTCTTACACAAATAGCCATCTACAGCCTCTCTCTCATTTTAAACTATTTTCTTCAGCATTACAATATTCCCACTCGGCTGCAGTTTTCCGCAGATTGGCTCCTAATAAAGCAGGCGAGAGCAATGCAGGCCCCAGGGAGTGAAGAGAACTCAGGACACGGCCATCTGGTGTCCACTGCGGGTCCAGCGACCAGCCAGCCTGCTCCTCAGCAGTCCTCCTTAGTTATCCACAGAGCCTCAAGCTCAACCGCACCTCAAGCTCAACCCCCCGAGATGAGTCTTATATTTCAATAAACAATCCAATCACAAGGTATTCATCAGTCTGTGAAAAACACATACTGCAGACTGCAGAGGATCTTACTGCTTGGAAACTCCCAAAGTCCAGATGCCAAATAAATTATATCACAGTTCAGATAATCGTTTGCAGCCATATCTGAATAAACGTTTAAAGCTTTTAATATAATGAAATATATTAAATGTTTCTCTTTCCAAGTCTAAAGTACTGCAAAACGTTTAAGAGGTCAGAGGTCCAATGCCCATCTTATTAATCAGAGTACCCTGCTGATGCCAAAACCTAAGACAAGTCGTTAACCACCCAATTAGAATTTAAATACATTGTACAGATGCAGTGAAAACAGCTCTGAAGAGCCTCAGGCCAATGTCCTGAGCACACCGTCATTCATTCCTGATTCACAGAGCAGGGCACCGTGCCACACCGAGAGGCTCATCCCCAGTACAGCCGGAGAAACCCCTGCAAGCTGAAAAGAGTCACACCTCTTCTGAGCTCCACGTGACGCCACTGTTACCCTGGGGCTACCATTAGCACTGCAATGCTGCACTAAAGAAACTCCACCTTTACACCCTTCACTTCTGAGAGCAACTTTCTCCCTGCATCTGGCCCTGGAAGGTTCCCAAGCCTGGGCAGCTACTACAAAGCAAAAGCCTGGGTGAGTACAGACGGTCCAGCTCTGTACAATGGGCTGTGTCTGGATCAAGGTGTCCAGCCATCTTGCGGAAGCCGACTCCCAAGACTCTTTCATGAGAAACTGATAAGAGTCTGATCGATAAGCTATCACATGTGCCAGAGTCATTTGATCTCTGCTCATTTGTGTCTTACGTGATTAGGTGTCAGTTCCACTTTGTGCTTGGCGTTTTGTCGCAGTGATACTATCTCTTTTTAAGCTGCAAACTGTAATAGCTGAGATCCATATCAGTTAATTAATAAAACGCAGCCTCGTTAAAAAATAGGTTTGGTTAAACCGCATGTAGTCTTTTGGGGAAATGTTGCCATAGCAAGAAATAAATGCTTCTGTTTGGTTCAGCTAATGTGACGGCAATGCTTTCACTGAAGCCTTGCTCCTGTTGGCTTCATTCCTCCTGGAGCAGCTGAGACTGGGCAACTGAAGAGCCTCCTAAGCGTTTAGGCCGTTCAGCGAAACAGAAGATCCGCTCGTGTTTGTGCATTTCTGTCCCCGCGGGGAACCAGTGAAGGGGTCAGAGCAGGAGGAGGCTGAAGCCTGAAGCGAACACAAAAGACAACAACTCCACTGACTGCGGTGACAGGCAGCCGAGTCACATGATTTTGTTACGCCATGGCTTTGAAAAGGCACTGCAGCGTGCAGTCGTATAAGCACAGGGCTCCAGGTTATACTTAACGGATTGGGGAAAAAAAAAACTTTTGTTTATGTGTTCTGAAAGCAGAAAGGGCCGGTGAATAACAGAGCTGGTTTGCAATTTCGTATTAATCCATTTACAATCAACACACTTCCAATAAAGCGCATTCTTATAAAAACATACATGGGTTTACAGGATGTCCCTACTTGGTGTGACAGCAGGGCCGTCACGCAGGAGACGGGACACTTTTCTTCCCAGGGGGCATCACCAGTGATGCAACAGGGAACAGGAAGTGACTTACAGTCAAACAAGGGGGAACAGGAAGTGACTTACAGTCAAACCAGGGGGAACAGGAAGTGACTTACAGTCAAACAGGAAGTGGCTCACAGTACCTGCCCCACTGCGGCGCGTGCTCATGTCGGCCACAAAGCTCCACTGGTTGGAGACGGGGTTGTACACCTCCACGGTGCTCAGGCACTGCCGCGACGCGCCATCATAGCCCCCGACCGCGTATAGCTTCCCTGCCAGTGGACACACACGCACAGGCACAGGCTTGTTTCAGCTGCCTTGATCGCAAATGAAGACTTGCACATATTCCAATCCCGACAGCGCCGGGACGCAGAAGGACTCACCCTCCACCACGCCGACGCCCACGCTGCTCCTGCGCGTGTTCATGGGAGCGACGAAGACCCACTCGTTGGACTTACAGCTGTAGGCCTCCACCGAGGACAGGCCTGACAGACAGACAGACAGGCAGACGACAGAAAAAGTACACCTCCTAAACTTTACAAAATGAAAAAGAAGCATTTCAACCACCTACAGGTATCAGAATATGAGTCTTTCCAGCACGTTATATATTCATGAGATTTCTATTGGGTTACCAATAACTGACACGCCTGGTGTGCCAGAGGTGCCATAGATGTAACTTTGCGTTGCTGTGCCTGTCAATCACAACAGCACAAGCCGCAGAGATGGTTACTACAGAGCAGCGGTCTCAAATTAAGGGCAGGTCTTCACTCCTAAATGACCCATTCTGACCCTCCAGGCTGGTGGTTCTCGCTCTAGGGCTGGTGTTTCTGAAAGCTTTCTCCGTCTTTTTAAAGCAGCAGCACCTGAAGAGCAGGCAGAAGCTGTTCAATTGGTCCACTTAAGAGACAATGTGCTGATTTCGGTCATCAGGACCTGAGCTGGATTACTCTTACTCCTCATCTAAAACAATGCTTTGACAGTCTCACTAAGTTCACCTTGGAATGAAGACTACAATGCAGAGAAGTGGCACAATAGGCTTAAATTTTCTACAAATAAAAACCCATTTACTGCCTAGACACAAGACATGAAGAACACATAATAACGGACCTAAGACTGTGTAAAACTGGCTTTCCAATTTTAAAACCTAAGGAATAATATGCTAAAACTGATCTCAGTCTGCCGTGAGAAACATGAAGGAGGCCTTTCAGGACACTGGCAGGGGAGGGGGAGGTCACCCAGAGCACAGCAGGAGCAGAGCAGGAGACCAGGCCAGGGGCCAGGATGGGAACCAGGTGACAGGTGACAGGGGCCTGCAGATGACAGGACGTGATCTCCCACGACGGGCACCGAAGTCCTTCTGAAGGAAGACACTTTGTTTTTTAAATTTAGGACCGGCGCACCAGTAGTGAAGAGCCCGACGCTCGCTCAGCCTACCTCGCACCAGCAGCAGACAATTCACAAAGCCCCCTGACAGCACCCTCTGTCCTGGAACATGGCTTTTATTGAAAAGCTTCACCAACGCGGACCCTTATTCAATCCTTTCTCACAGCCCTCGCCACAGCCAGTGTCTATCCCGGTATTTTTCTCATCTTGCTTTAACTTGGCTAAGAAGGACTCCGACATGTGCTCCCAACTCACAGACTGGCTACGGCACAGTTCCGAGTTTTTTTAAAGGCTGTGCTTTTCTCCCAAAAGGCCGATGTCAGCACCTACTGCCAGTCTCTGGTTCATGACCACAAATCTTCAGAAAATCACTGCACAGCGTCCTAAAAACCCACCCTAGAAACCACAGCTCTCTGGAAGTCTGAGATGGGTAGAATAGCACGATTCAAGTTTTCTATGGAAGACTGTCTGGGCCTGGTTGTGCACTGATCTGTTACAGTAGTTCCAGCAGGCAGCTGCGTCAGCAGGCGCAGGCTGCAAAGGAACAAGTACAGGTTTATTCTCTGCTGAACAGAGGAGAAAAGAAACACCAAGTGTCACCTGAAGAAGGCTCCACGGCCGAAACGTTGTGTTTCTTCTCTTGTCGGCAGGGAATAAACCTGTACTTGTTCCTTTGACCCATTACAGCGCCGATGACACTGACGCTCTCGAACGCTGGCCCCTCTCGCCGGAAGGCTGGCCGAAGCCCTGGGGTGCAGCGGAGAGGGCGCAGGCCCGCAGGCGGGGTACCTGTGCTGCCGTCAAACCCCCCCACGGCGTACAGCAGCTCCCCCAGCACGGCCGCCCCCAGGGTGCTGCGCCGCTCCTGCATGCTGGGGATGGAGCTCCACTGGTCCTTCGCGCCGTCGTACGCGTCCGCCGTCCGCACCCGCAGGGACCCGTTGAAGCCGCCCACTGCGTACACGCAGCCGGCCATGGACACCACGCCTCGGGGACGGACAGCCGGGGCGAGAGGGGGGGGCAAGCAACGAGAAGCCGTCAGCACCCGGGGAATAGGCGATGCGTCTTTACACAAAGGGTGGCGGGAGTGTGGAACAAGCTACTCTGGGTGTTGAAGCCGATACTTTGGTTTCTTCCAAACACAACAGCTAGATAAGATCCTGTTCATTACCAGAGAGGCTAGAGAGCCCCGAATGGCCTTCTCTCGCTTGTAACCTTATTTTCTAGTTGTTCTTATTTTCTAGTTGGTGAGAGAGAGGCGAGAGGATCAATCAGTGCGCTCGTGGCTTTCCACAGGATGTACCCAGCAGGGTGGGCCAGCCACCTGTGCTCGGCTTAAATCAAATGATAGCAACAGCAGACAGAGAAAGAGAAACAGCGAGTATCATCAAAACCAGGAAGAAAACAAACACAGCAGCACCGCAGGTATACCGCAGACCTCTAAGCCCAGGCTCATAGTTCGGTTTGATTAAGGCTTGCATACCAAAGGGGTGAATACTTATGCAATCTACTTAATTTAGTTTTACATTTTTTTTGCAGTTCTTGCTTGCATTTCAAGTGCTTTTACCCTAAAGGGGTTCAGTTCAAGCGTTTTCATTTTTAAAAAGAGCACGTCTTTGCAATTCAACACAACGAGGCACCACTGGGAGAGGGAGGAAGCTTTTCTGTAGTTTTCACAGCAGGACTGCTTGTCCCTTTGCCAGTGAGCACCGAGGAATGGTTTGAGTCTTAAATTATTTTCATCTTTTGCCTATCGCTTTGCCGCTATGAAATGGAGGCTGGAACCGGGAGGATGAAGAGACAACGACACTGGAATCGAAGAGACAGAGGGCACCGAGGCCATTTCCCGCCCGGATTCCCAGCATGCCACCCTCTTCCCCTGTCCCGGCTCTGGGTACCTGCTCGGCAGCGCCTGGTGGGCAGATCGGCCACTGGGTACCAGCGGTCCTCCTGGATGTCATAGCACTCCACGCTGCGGATGGCCTTGGGCGCCTGGCCCCCCACCACGATCATCACCTGCCGGCACACACAGAGGACAGAGGGGGGTCACGGCACGTAGACGTGGGACAGAGGGGGGTCACAGCACGTAGACGTGGGCCGGGCGGAAGACCGCTCGCTCGCTCGCACGCGGCAGGGCCACGCAGGGGGGACTCATCCGACTCGCTGCGGTGATGTCGAACCTCTCGTCCCGGAGGGCTGGATTTGGCCAGCCGGCGTAGAGCAGCCCCCACCTGGGCGACACGTGCTGCCCATCAAGGCGCCGTACCTTGGGCAGGCTGACAGGGGTGCGCGGGCGGGTCCTGGCGGTCTTCATCAGGTGGCGCTGGTCGGCAGGCAGCAGGTGGTACTTCATGGCCTCGATCAGGAAGTCCTTGCAGGTGTTGTTGTTCTTGATCAGGGCCTCCTCCTCCACGATCTGCCCGAGTCACCAGCGCGGGGCCAGAGAGGACACGGTACCGGAGGAGCAAAGAAAAAATAACGACATCTGGCTCGAGCCCCCTCACGGAAGTCAACGTGATGCCGCGAGGAGCGGCACCGGAGCGGACACCCAGGGGTCACGTCGCCCAGGGAGGTCACTTCCTCCCGTGCTCACAATCCTCTGCCCCTCCAACCACCGGGAGAAATTTCATGATCAAACTAGTTTTCCCACCCCTTTAAAATAGCCCCGATTCTGCCTATTCAAATCTGTAGGAGCTCATTGAGTTTAAATATCCAATCCGAGTTGCAGCGCCATGAAAATGTCATTTTGACAGCCGGTTCCTGAGGAAAACAGCCGACACAGCAGTCTGCTGTGTCCAGCACACAGGGAACAACCCTGGTCAGCCTCCTGTGTTACTGCACCACGCAGGACACAACATGCATTTAAACTGCAACTGTAAAAACACATATAGTACACGGTATAGGAATACTTTAAACAGCGAGTGCTCTGATGCGCAGATGTTTGAGAATCAGGGGTGATGAGAGTGTGGAACAAGCTGCCCAGCTGTTCAGCTGAAGCCGATACCCTGGATTCCTTCCAGAAATGGCTGGGTGAGATCCTGGGATCGATTAATGGCTCCCCAGCGGATTTTGTGGGCCAAACTGCCTCCTCTCGTTACTAACTTCATGGGGTCAGAATGTCGCGCACTCCTGCAGTCCGCTCAAGTCGCCATTGCCCGACTGAGCCCTGCATTGCAGGCATCAACGGTCTGGTCCAGAAGAGAAACGATATGTACAATCTGCAGCAAACCGTTTTCAAAGCACAAGATGTTTTTAAAAATTGTGCACCAGAATGAAGTGAAAAAACAAAGACCAAAGATTTATATACATGATGTATTGAATATATAAAAATATTTTACAATAAGGGAAATAAAGACACAGATGTATCTATAACACCTCAAGAGTCATGAGCTTTTGGTATACTCTTGAGAAAGGTAAAGATCACTCTACCTGTACCAGGTAATCCCGTGGCAACAAGGGCAGGCGGACATGCTCCATCATCTTGGGCATGTGCTCCAAACGGGTCTCCTTATCATACTTGATCCATGCAATCATGGCCTCAAACACCTGCCCCGGCAGAGAAGGTTAGCACCCCAGCATGAGAACACAGGGTTGAGATTCACAATGGCAATGGAAAACAATCCAGCGTTCTGATTGGCTCAACACGTTCTTACTAGAAGCCAATCACGGTGGTAAGATTCATGGTGAGCCAATCAGAATGCTCAGTCTGTTTGACTTGCTGTTAATTGCTTGCTTTCACCTTTCTCTGCTCCACTCTCCTCGCCACTGTTCTTCTGGCAAGTTTGAGCTAGTTTTCTCAATTCTGTTCTTCCACAGCCTGTGAGTCCATCTGTCTTTCTATGATTTTTAGTCCTTTATAGAACAATCAGCAAGAGTCCTTTTCTCTGTCACACTCACCCTGTCTCTCTCGTTATCCACAGCGCTTCGAGTTACATTATTCCAACAAAGGTGCTTCTATTAGTGATTATAAAAACATTTCATTTTAGGGAATGTGGAAGTGTTTAGAGGGTTCGAATAAATAAACGTGTCACATCATGGAACAGAACAAAAAACAGCACAGAGAGAAAAAGACGAAGCCCAAGGAGTGTAGAAGGGAGGGGAATCAAAGTTTCTGATTCAGAAGAGGAAGAGGGGCCTGTCACTAAAGTGCCACACTGTCACCAAAGGCTCATGTTTTCGTATTAATGCAGCATTTTCTCTGTGGAAGAGCCACCTGGTAGTGTTTTCCTGAACATCCTGTTTAAACAGCTGTACTGTGTGCCCATGCTTGCAAGCAGAGCTGCCACAGAACACAGATTCCCTCCAAGTATGTAGCGGTTAGGAACTGTGTTGAGAGGGTTTCAAGACTCTCGAGAGCACGCAGACAAGCACACCTTCTTGATTGAGAGTCCAGGAATGGGAAGGCAGGTAGCCAAAATCCTACCTTCTCCTCTGAAGACACAGTCAGCTTGTCACTGGAGATCAGGCTGCAAACCTGCTGCAGATTCAAGCCCAGGAACTCCTCTCCCAGCATCACCTCCGAGAAGTGCAGCTCTGTTTGACACAGAGGCACTGCATCACACTTACAAGCAAAGTCCATAGCCATTCAGTTACACACACTCACACAGACGAGGGTCAAACAGGCCTCTCGTGACACAACCACAAAACTACCTGGTACCACAACTATAGATACCAGGTGCTGCCATTTAAAAGCTTGTTAGCTAAGACTGAATAAATCTGTGCAGGCATCCAGATTTACAAAAGCAACACACTCCAGAACCAAAATATGTGTAGTGACAGGGACACTGTACTATAAAAAGGTGCTGCCCTACACATGAAATGGTCATTAAAAATCCCAGGCTGTTTCTCGAAAAGAGTAAGGGTGTTAATCCAGTTTCCTGGCCCAATTTCCCATTGTAATCCCCATCTCTGAACTGGCTTCATTACTCTGTTCTCCTCCCCAGTGAGAACTGGTGTGTGGGGAGCTTACTGGTGCACCATGGTTGTCATCACATCATCGGTGGTGGTGGAGAGGATCCCCATTATCTGTAAAGCGCTTGGAATGGAGTGTCCACTCCACTGTTTGAGTGATTGTCCACTGTTTCTATTCATCGGGGACACACAGAGCCCACCAGTGGCTCACCTGCGTAGGTGTGGGCCTGGCGCAGCAGCTGGGTGCAGGTGTGCAGGTCTGCAAAGGCGCGGATGCCCAGGCAGTTGGTGGGGTGCAGCTGGGCCTGCAGGAAGTCACAGCACACCTCGCGCACGTCCATCAGCTGCAGCAGGCTGGCGGCGGGCAAGAGCACCTGGGAGGGGAGAACATCACTGAGCACCCGTGCCGGCATGGGCGGGGTTTGGTGATCACCACTGAGCACAGCCCACACAAACACGACCAGGAGAGCTTGATGCAGGGCCACAAACCATGTGGAACTGGGGGGAGTGCTCGGTCATCTATTCATCATCTCATCTTACTGCAAGAGAAATCTACACGAGGAGCCGTGCAGCATCCATAAGACTAGAAAGCAAAAAGAAGGGCTCTGTGGTTTATTCGATACGAAGCCCAGCTATAAATGTCAACAACGACGAGCAGTAGGCACCAGGTTTGTGACCTAAAATGTAATGAAGGTCTCGGCTGCACCATGTGTTTTTCTGGTATTGGAACACAGATAAAAAGTTACTACAAGAACTGTGAATCGAAAAACTACAATTAAGACTTCAAACCCCCTGAGTTCTGATGGAAACAATATGCCCCCCCTGCCACTAGAGACAATCAACTGCATTAACAAGACAGGGACCACCCTCACACAGCTGATTAAAGGCAGGAGAGACAAACTCAGACCCTCACCACTGGGTTGAGTTACAGGGTACTGCGGCACTATAATGATCAGCAAACCAAAACTATGAACAGAGAGTAAAAATATATTTTCTGCAATCTGGATATTATGCATTAGGTCCTATGTCGCCCCATATGTACGTGTCTGCTCCCGTGTTCCAGTGTTTATAACCTTTGTCAGGGGTGCTCGATGCAATATGGCTGAGATCAGCATAATGACAACAAAGGACAAAACCAAAGAGAAAACGCATGATGTACTTCTGGCAGTCCCATGTCTGTCCCTGCTGGAGCTGGGGGAGCGTGGGGGATCAGTAAAGCCGAGTGGAGAGCCAGCGCTCAGAGCAGGGCTTCAGTAGAAATCTGGGGCGAGCGTTCTCCGGCGAACACCCCAACAGCAGCAGTCAGCTCTGACGAGAAAACCATTCTACCTCCTCTCCCTTTAATCGACTACGGCGCTGTCGCCCTTCGAGCTGCCACTCTCAAGCCTGTGGTTTTAAAACCCTCCTCCTCCCCCCTGTCCCGCCCGGCCTCAGACACCACTCCAGGAAAACAGGCTGGCAACGAGGGGAGAGGATATCCCCCTGCGCTCAGCCCTGCAGACCGCTTCCTGCAGGAATAATAGGAGGAAAGGAGCAGCCCTCGCTGCCCGGGAAAGTGACCGCAGACACACTGTTCCTGAGAGAGAGAAGGAGAAAATAGGAAAGCGTGGGGAACAAGGAAAGCACTGCCTGAGAAGTCACCAGATGTCAGATTTATTTTTTTTAAGTGAAACATCACCAAAGCGGCGTGATGTTTTCTAGTATATAAGCGAGCTAAACTGCGGCACTGTTTGCAATCCGACACCTCAACTCCACATCGACGCTTTTTCCGCTACTCCAGTGGCGACTCTGAAAAAGTAAATCTATGAGCTTTTCATCCGAACTCCTGTAAGCAGGCCTTGGATTCCTCAAATGCAAACAGAGTTTTTTTCCCCGTCCTGAAAACTGAGACCCAGATTCCGAGTCTTGGGGAAAAGCAAAAAAACAGGACAGCACCCTGAGCCTATGCGGTTCGTCACATGATTTCCGAAAATGATTAGCTATTACTGTAGACATCCCTTGGCAATACAGCCAAAGCCCTGCCAACAAGACTGGAATCACAGTTAGCGCTGCCACATGGTACTGGAGCTCTTCAGCAACTTAGTCAAGAGAGATAGGAACGCACATCATGAAAACCTTTAATACAGGCAAGTTAGTCAATATTAAAGATGCAGCGACCAGAGAGGACCACGTCAAGGCTCTCTGTAGTGACGTATGGCCCGTTAAATTGAAGATAACAGCTGAGACGACAGAAGAAGGCAGGATATAAATGAAAAATTATTCCGTCTTAAGCCTTTCTTTAATCATTGGCTTTAAAATGCAAAATTTTGAGCTGCTGATTGCTCTATGATTATTCACGTGGAAGGGAGAGATTAGGAAAATCATTTGCAGATTAATTATTAAATTATCTCCTAATCAAATTAATCAAAATCAAACACAGAACTTAGCACGTCTGCTGTTCCTGTTCTCTGTACCAGCGATGCAGTCTTTTTTGTTGTAGTCCTTACTTTTAATTAATTTCCATCCATCCCTTTTCTATCCACTTCATTCAATTGAGGATAGCGGGGGGCCCAGAGCCGATCCCAGCAATTGATTTAAGAATTGTAATTCGCCAACTACTTGGAACAATTTTTGACGAAGTCTGTTCATTTCTGATGTGCACAGACTCAAAGACAACCTTCTGAACGGAGAAAAGAGAAAAGGCTGCACTTAATATTAAATCCTGGAATGGAAGAAACTGTACTGCAATGGGAGAATAATTGGCTTTTCTGCACAACACAGAGAGTTGTTGATTTACACAGGGACCACACAACTATCTTCTGACCTTACACTCCGTGCACTTCAAAAGCCATTTAGTCTTGCAAGTAACATCACAAATATTTTTTTCTTATACTACGTTTAAACAAATCATTGTAGACAATTTCAACATTTTATTTTTGAATGTTAAAATTGACTACCGTTGTTTTAAAAAAATGGAATGTTTTATATATAAATCCCTTGCACGGAATTTTGTTTCTAAGATTTTTTTTCACGCAGCACTTTATTGTAGTTACTTTTTTGTAACTAAATTTTTGCCGATTTTTAGATTTTCACACAAAAAAAATATTGGTTACAGACAACGACGATTTCTAGATGTATTTAGCAACCAAATCCGAGGCTGAGAGACATCCAGGTCCAGCGCCGTACACGCAAATCAAGAACGAGCAAATCGAAAACTACCTGGATTGGGTCAACCCCTCCCCTGTGACTGGATTTAGGAAATGCTGTGTTACAGTGGAGCAGCGACGTCACCGCGAGGCGGTGAGGGTGTGGCACTCCCCTACCTGCACGTTGTCCTCCGTCACCTTGATCTCCGCTGTGTAGATGTAATCCACCAGCTTCCGGAGGGTCTGCCCGTCCACATCCTTGATCTCCACCCGCTGGGCCTTGCTCTCGCTCATGTCCCCTGCAGCCAAACACACACACACACACACACACACACACACACACACACACACAAGAAACACGCTGTCACTTCCCTGCAGCTCCAGGACACGGGCTGCTCACCACGCACGAGGAGCGCAGAGCACGGAGAGCACACACAGGGCCGCCGCGTGCAGGGACAGAGCTCGACCGCGGAGCGGGCTCACGCCAGCAAGCGCCCTTATCAATACAAGAGCCAGCGTTCACCTCGGAACCACATTCATTACAGTGGCAGGGGAGAAACCTGAGCTACCCCCACTACCACATCGGCGACAGCACTTAACCAGACGCTCTGTAAGTTCCTTCAATGACTTGCGACTAACTTTTTTTCTTGCGGTGTTTGCATTCTGTACAGTTGCTAAAATAAGCAAGACTCGGGGCCAAACACCAGGGACCCCCAGAGCAGCAGCTCCCCAAGATTCCTGGGTACCTGCCGATGGGTCCTGTAAGGGCGATTTGTTGAAGATCAAAGTGGTACTAAATTTCTTTTTAACCGGTTTGCGACGCATTTTATAAACTCGCATGTTCTGGGACCAAAATGCGTGGCTGGATTTATTCATCGCGGACCAGCAGCCTCCAGAAAAACAACGTTCTCGGAGTAAAAGCCAGGAAGGTGAGCTGTGAGGACATTTCTCGGAACTGGGGTGCCCCGCATGCCTGGGAGGGCCAGGCCTAAGGCCCGAGCACGTACGGATCACCGATGGGAACGGCATCCTCTTTACAAGCGTCTCTCTGTCGACAGCCCGAGTGATACTGAGCCAATTTAAACAGGAGGCCATCTCTGCCCCCTGCCTGCTCGAAGCCGAACAGGGAGTCAATCTGTCTGCTGCAGAAGCACGATCGAAGTGGAGAGGGGTGGTGTGGGGAGACGTAATTCAGCTAAAACACTTCAGTATGAGTTGGCGACAGCCGAGCAGCACTTCTTAGACAAAATGACGGCCGATGGGGGCCAAACAGTCACTTCAGCAGGAGCAGAACAGAGATATTTAGCATGTGTTAATTTCCTGAGGCAGCACCACCACATTTCCGCAGATAAAAGCTCCAGATTAAAGTGCGGCACATGCAGCTGATATTCAGGATGTTCAGTATTAAGATCTGGGGAGAAAAGGGAATGCAAACTGCAGGATTCTCCGAAGAGCCTGTGCTTCTCCCAATAATCACTATTTCATCAGGTTC